TAATTGTTGATTATCATAGACTTTGAATTTTTTTTTTTTTAATTTTCTGAGAACTATAGGTTTTCATACAGTAATGATTTATTTTTTGTATGAATAATAACTTGATGATTTTATCTATGGATTATAAAGACAATTTAAACTTCATTGATTGAACAAAAGTAAGAAGTAAACATCAACCATCGATACTAAGATGCGTGATAAAAAGATCTACTTACAGTGTACTCTAGATATGAATCAATTTGTAATAAAAATGATGAAAAATTATATAGTAGGTATATAATGGTTTCAATGAAATATTATACCGAAGGTTTTAAAAAAATCGATATACTAAATAACTTACATGTTGAAAAATGGTAACATTGTCCATTTGTGTACTGATTTTTGTGTTGTTGTGACGGTGTGTATGCGGTTATTGAAGTCAAATATTAAACTGTCAAACTTTAAAAAAGAAGCACTAAACTTAGAGATATTATGTATTTTATGTGTGTTTAATAGAAATATTTTAATTTTATACAAAATTTTATCGTAAAATTAGAAATTAAACAAAATCAAACTAAATTAATGTACAAACAATACACTTTTAACATATAACATTTAACAACAATCAGTTAATGACAATACATCCACACCTAAACCACACACGAACATTAAAAATTAAAAATAATAAATTATTGTCAAAACATACACAACTAAACCAAACCAAAAAATCACAACGATAAACAATAATGGGCACCAACGAGAGTATTTCCGGAGGTTAGATCATTGCCAATACAATTTGGATGGAAGAAAGTGAATGGTCGGAGTAGGTAAGTCCAATGAGTCTCTAAATTATGTTGTGCATCGCTGAAGAAGGTCTGTCCATTATTGGAGTCTACACAGAGAGATGAGAGACTGAGGAAGATGACAATGATTTCTGAGAAACTAAGAGAAGTGAGACGGTTAATGGGAGAAAGAGAAAGAGTTTGGGTTGTATGTTAAACAAAATGGGTAACATGTGGGTGTAGTTAAATTATGTGAGATTCAGGGGCGGAGCCACCCTTGGACCAGGATGGGCACATGCCCCCCTAAATTTTTTTTTTTTGACATTAGATATATATATTTTTTTAAATAAAAATTAGATATATATTTAATTATGCCCACCCTCAATTTTTTTTACAGTAAATATATATTTTTTAAAATAAAATTTAGATATATTTAATTATGTGCATCTTATTATTGTATTATTGTGATATCGATTAAGATAGATGACTACTTAAATAATAATTAATTTTTAAATAATGTTATTGGAATAAATACATTATGATATTAAATCTAATAATGAGTCTCTACATTTAATAACGTTTACTATTCATTCAATGGTCACAAACTATTGGGTTCCTACCAATTAAATTTTAAATTTTTTTTTGGTCAAGATATAAAATTAAATTTCGAATTAGATGCAATTACTATTATTCTTAAATTTTTAGATACAGACATGTCCGAATAATTTTTAGACATATCGCATTCATTTTTTTAAATTATAAGATTATTTTATTAGTGTATAGAAATGAGCTTCATAATATAATAACTTACAGGATAATAAATGAAAGAATGTTATTACCATTTTGTATATATATAAAAAAATTATTTATTGATATTAGTGATTTGTAATTCTTTTAAATTATAAATCATAATCAGATTTAATTGTAAAATAATAAAAATTAGTCTCATACGAAGTTTTAATTAATTTACTTTTATTTTTTGTTTGTTCATTCCATGCAAATCATTTTTTAACATTTTATGTTTAATGATTTTTTACGCATAATTATAGTAAATATGAATTTATGAACTTTTATGGTTAATTGAAAAAAAAATGAAAAATGTTATTCAGATCTAATTTGATGACATAATTCAATGCACCAATTTGATTGAATGTAGATTTCATCTAACATTGAAATTTACAATTAAAATAACAGTTACATTGAATTAAGTCATTAGTAATATTGATAAAAAAATAATTAAAATTTATTAATGTGTCCACCCTAAAGTATTTTTTTGGCTCCGCCCCTGGTGGGATTTTATTTTTGTGTGGGATGTGTTGTGAGCCATTAGATTAAGTTTGATGAATTTAGATGAAATTTGGATTATTTAATTTAAAATGAATTAAATTTGAGTTGTTATTGTGTTTTTTTAAATTTAATATAAAGACGTATGAGAGATAGGAGTGTAGAATCTTATAATAAAAGACTTCTTCATGGACGAGAAAAGAAATTCATGACTAACTATAAACTGTTAGATCAAAATTTTTGAGATGATCTGAACCGTCTTTTATGTTAGATTACGTTGTCCGTTGGATGTGTTTATATTTTGTCTCAAAACGATCTTAACCTATCTTTATCTTTTGGATTCAAACTTCATTCTACTTAATTTATTATATAGATCTTACCCAAAAAATGCAAGAAGATCTCACGTCTCCGTTTTGTGCGTGTTGCTTTAGAGGGAATTTGAAATCTGGCAAGCAGCCAATAATCATACATTCCCACCCAACTGTCATACCAAGTAGGATATAAAATTTTGAAGAAAGTGGACTGTTCACCAAAACCCCACAAATCTTTCAAATAATTGATAATGTATATAATGATAATATGTTTGTCTCACCTATTCTTTTGTACTATAAATAAATCTCTTCATGTATATTATAAATTACACCAAAAAAACATGCAATTATTATTTATTTTCTATTTTCTTCTTTCACATCGTATTAGAGCTTAAGCTTGCGAATCTTTCTGACCAAGTATAATATGTTCTATGGTTGTCTTGCGGGGATCATCCACATCAAAACTCTTGAAACTCTTCCACTTTCGACTATCCTCTTAGATAGTATGCTCTCCCATTGTCTTGCGAGGAATCCTCCACATCAGAACACTGGAGGTTCCTCTTTCGATCGACCTCCAATGACTTTCCAGTAGTCCTCTAGTGACATTTCAATCACCTCCCGGCCATCCTCCAGTGACCTTTTGATATCCTTCACCATCTTCTAACAATGTTTTCATCTCCCTCTCCAGCCATCCCTCGACGATGTTTCAATCACCTCCCTATCGTTCTCTAACGACTTTCCAAACGTTTACTGACTGTCCAGATCTCACCATGACACTATATCCGATGTTTCCCAACCAATTTCCATCATTCTTGAAGGCTCCAACTACATTGTTTGGGCTCAATTTATGACCAATTTTCTCAAAGGTCGTAAACTGTAGCGTATGTTATTGGTGATATCAAGGAACTTGTTTGTCTTAAGACCAAATAGGCTAAAAAATACGCTAATCGCCTTGAAGAATGGGAAAGCAATAATCATCAAATTATCCCTTGATTTCAAAACACCTCAACACTATCCATCAGTCATCAGTTTGGTCATTTTAACACCGCTACAACCATTTGAAACTTCCTTTGCAAACGTTACACGACAGAAGATCATGTATTAGTTCTTAGTCATGCTGAACTCATTTGATTGCAAGACTGTACCCACCCCATTAAAGCAAAATGCTCGACTTACTCCCTTGGATGACACACCTCTCCCTCATATCACTCTTTATAACTAGTTGATAGGTAGTCTTGTTACTCTTCACTATTACTCGCCCTAATATAGCCTACGTTATTCATCTCATCAACCAATTTTTGACTGCCCCTCGTTCTACTCATTATGTTGTTCTTTGTATTCTACGATATATTAAGGGTGTTATATTTTATGGTCTTCATTACTCTACTCATTCATCTCTTGAGCCATGAGGATATTCTGATATTGATTTGGTAGGATATCCTGATGATCGTCGTTCTATCTCTGGTTATTGTTTCATTTTAAGTGACTCTCATCTTTTAGCACAGCAAGAAATAGATTGTTATCCCTCAATTCAATACAAAGTTAGAGTACTGTGCTCTTGCTGACTCTATCCAGGAGCTTCTTTGGTTTTGTTGGCTCTTAGAAGTTTTAGGTGTCTCTAATCTAGTGTTACCATTCTTTATTGTGACAATCGGAGAGCGATACAGATTGCTCACAATGATTTTTTTATAATCGTACCAAGCATATTGAGATTGATTATCATTTTGTGTAATATCATGCAGCTCGAAGTATAGTTCATCTTCTATCTATTTTTTCATCTAACCAGACTATTGATATTTTTACCAAGAACATCCATTTGGCCAATTTCATGATTTGGTCAAGTTGATTTCTATTTTATCTATTTGAATTTGAGAGGGGATGTTAATGTATATAATTATAATATGTTTATCTCACATCAGTTAAACTACAAAACTTCACTACTCTCTTATACTATAAATAAGAGTAATGATAGATGAACTTAAAAATTAGATTTCATGAACTTAAAAATTAGATTTGATAATCTCAATCATTGAATAGGTAGTAGATCTTAATAAATGCTAGGACTTATAGTGAAATTAATGGTTGAGATTATCAAGTTTAGTTTTTAAATCTACCTTTTAAATTCATATAACATTGCTCTATAAATAAACCTTCTCATATATATTATAGATTACACTAAAGCAATCTAGGATTGCTATTCATTTTCTATTCTCTGTTTTTTACATATAAAATGTTATATTCAATGAACGACCTGATCAAATTTCAATATCTAACCATTAAACAAACCGGCCCCACCCAACCCAAGACTTATAGTAAAAAATTGAGACCCTTCCTAGTTTTCAGCCAAAGTTTCGTCACCTGGGACGTTAATCAAATAGAAGAAAGAAAAAAAGGCATCAAAAAGACCACCTGGTCTTCTTTCCCGGCATTATTTTTATTTGTACCCAAGAGACGAATTGACTTCTAAACTTATTTAAAAGTTGCCTACGAAAATTTTGGAAGAAAGTAAAGCAGTCAATTCCAACTCATGTATCATTTTTCAAATTCACATTACTGGCTCATACTATATATAGTATACATAAGCAGTTAAACCCCCTCCAAACGCAGCAAGCTTCAAATTTGGAAAACCAAAAAAGAAGAAACTATGGAGAAACTAATGAGGCAAATCATGTTCTGTGGTTTCTTCACTATTCTTCTTTTGCTTCTAGCCGCATGCCCAGCAACATGTCAAGAAGTTGGTAAGTCATTTCTCCTTTTTCTTTTTCGGGTACGGGAGCTTTTTTTTACTGAAATTAGATATACAACAGAGTTCAAGACATGCTCAAAAACTTCCCGAGTTTTTTGGGCTCGTGTTGAGCTATGTTGGTTTTTTTTTTAAACTGCTGTTTTTCTCCTTGTTTGAGCAAAATTAGTGAAGAGTTTCCATAGTATATATATGCTTTGTTTTTTCTTCGTCTTCATTATGTTGCTCTTGATATATGGTGCAGAGGATGAGAGCGAGTTCAGTTATGTACCAGGCAGCGATAATGGACCGGAGCGCTGGGGAGAGATTCATCCAGAATGGAGCATGTGTAACAATGGAACCATGCAGTCTCCTATTGATCTGCTGAATGAGAGAGTTGAGATAGTTTCTCACTTGGGAAGACTTAAGAGGGATTACAAACCCTCTAATGCAACTCTTATAAATAGAGGCCATGATATGATGGTAAGAGATAGAAGAAAAACCTTTATCTCATGTTCTTGGGCAGTCCAATCTTCAATATACCATCCATTTTAGTGGTTCAACTGCTAATGATTTTTCAGATTATGATTTGAAATTTTTTTAATTTTCATTCACAGATTGAAAATCTAACCTTACATCATATACTTTTTTTTCAAAAAGGTAGCATTACTTTCCAAAAACCATAGGAAAAGACTACCGTGTCCAAAAAAATTGGTCCTACACTTCCAAGTTTTACTATTTTTTGGATTTTGATACATGGTTTTGAGACTCTTTACAATTTTTGGGTTGTGTTACAACTTTTAAAGCTTGAGTTACAAATTTTTTTTTTTTGGCCAAGTTACCACAACTTTGCCATACATGCTAAAAATATTAGAATCCTTCCTAAAGTTACCTCTAGGACAATAACAAGAGATTTTAATATCAAATCAAATGCCCATAAAATCTTTATTAGAAATATCTATAAAAAAAAAATTACGTACCCCCGAGATTTTGCATTAGTTTCTGTTTGAATTTGCATTTAAATAGGTTGATAATTTGTTTATGGTTGCAGTTGAGATGGGAAAATGGTGGAGGACATATCTACATAAATGGAACTCAATATACACTCAACCAATGCCATTGGCACTCACCTTCTGAACACACCATCAATGGCCGGAGGTGCTTCTCTTTTTCTATTGTGTGTGTGTGTAGAATGTGTGTATTACACTACGTATTCATGATAATAACAATATTAAAATCTACGCTACAGCTATGATTTAGAAGTTCACTTAGTTCATCAGAGCGCGAACGGTAGGACTGCTGTGTTTGGAATTATGTATAAGATTGGACGGCCTGATTCCTTTTTGTCGATGGTAATCCCACAAACTACTCTCTCTCTCTCTCTTGCCCTCGCGCACAGACACAAACACATATTTCTGTATATCTAGTCCAGGCAATTCTATAGACATCCACCATTTCAGCACGAATTGAATCAAGGCTAGTGGGTTTGAATTTACCTTTAATGAATTTGAGTGATAAGTGGATGAACGTGTCCCACTGATCGAGTTTTGGGTCAACTTGCTTGCAATATAACACAATACAGATCATAACGTATATACAATATAAATTCAATTATGTATAATTATAAATATATCGAGTATAATTTTAAAAAATATTATAAAAATAAGATTTATGAGATTTAACAAGAAGACACGACATAAGACAAATGACGTGATGTTTATGTGTGTCCTCAGATGGGGAAAGATTTAAAAGCCCTTGCTGATATCAGAGGATTAGAGAGGGTGGTGGGTACAATTGACCCGAGGCAAATAAAGTTGGGGAGCAGAAAGTATTACAGGTACATTGGATCCCTTACAACTCCTCCCTGCACTCAAAACATTGCCTGGACCATGCTGAGAAAGGTGAGCTCTACTAAGCCTACATTAATTATTATCAAGTAATAAAATTATGATTTTACAAGAGAAGTACGGTTTGCTAATGGCTCCTTGTGGGATTTATCAGGTCAGAACTGCTAGCAGACAACAAGTAAAACTAATTCGTCAAGCTGTTCACGACGTAAGTTACTAATATTATTATTCTCCTTATAAACGCATAAATTATTTGAATTTGCGACCTTAAGGTCCAACAATTGGGACACACCACTAACCTTGATTTTGAAAATAATTGAACTTTGACAACCATAAGCCCCAATTTTGCAATAGATCAATAGAGTTGATCGATAATAGTTATGGATTAACACTATGTCAATAGAGTTGATCGATAATAGTTATGGATTAACACTATGTGGTTATATACAGTAACATGTTGTTTTCCTATATTTTAAATGTTATACAAATGCCTTGTGATTTTGGAGAAACTCAAACTTTTATAGAGAATTATAAAAGCAAACGTCGAAATTCTATATTGAATAATTACTTTTTACATATTACCTCTTTTTTAATTTTCTCCTCTAAAATAAATCAATCTCTTTCATTATCTTCCCTTTGTATAAATTATTTGAATTTTCAAAAA